GCTTGTTCTTGAAGTTCTCCAGTTTCCAAATAATCAAACTCGTCCATTTTATTGAATCCAACTGATGATTCAAAAGCGCTCTTTGATAAAACTTCAAAATGGCCATCTTCCTCGCCGCCATTTTCTAGGCTTTCTCGCCTTGAGATGATGCTCATTCTCACTGGCGAAGGTGCAGGTGTGGAACATGGAAATGCAGTTGCAAAATTTGGTTCAGCACCGAAGTCCTCGAACAACTCCGTAATAACCTTCTCTCCGGATTCGCACAGTGGAATTAAAACAGCAGCTACTGACGCATCCGATTTTGCGAGACTTTTTGCGGTTGACATTTCTCGTTGAGGTGCTACAAAGCGCACAGCTTGTTTCTCAATTTTCGACGCGTGCGAATTGTTGACTGCGGTTTTCACGAGACCATTTGGGCGACGAAACTGAGCAGAATTGGCTGGTTTAGACAATACGACTGGCTTGATCTTGATTTCAGTACTCGTTTTTGCACTATTGGGAATATTTGCGGATGACGGAGTCCTGTTTTCTTGATTGGAATCAGGTTTGACGACTTTCTTTTGGACGACCTTTTGTGTCGATTTAGTGGGCAGATTTGACATGCTGGTGCTTTTCTGCAACTGCAATTTTTTCGCGATAGGATTCTTCTCGTCAGGAATAACCCGATTCAATTTGCACATGGCGTGTGAACGTGCTTCGGGTAGCTTTTTCGAACTCTTGACTCGATCTGAAACTGGAACAAAAATTCTCAAAATTTACAATTGGAATTTCTGAACAGGAAAATATTTTTTATTAGAATGAAAATTATCGAATAATTGTACTATAATCAGATAAAAATTATTCAGATTGAATATTTTATCGTCGGAATTTACTATATTTTTCACGTGAAGTTTCCGTTCGAACAACTCAAAAACGGAAAACAATTTAATATTCTCCAGCAAGGGCGCGAAGAATTAAGACAGAAATTTCACAAAACAATTTCTACTTCAGAAGTGAATGTATTTTTCTTCAATTTAAAAATGGTAACGATAGTTTTCCAACTTTTATTTCTACAGCAAAAAAAAAGCCGAAACCTTTGTTCAAGTGTTGGCTTTTTTGTCAAGTGCACAAAAAAAATTAATTAATTTGGTCCCTCTGAAATTTAATATTTTTGACAAAATCTTTGAAAAATATTGCGGAAAGATGAAAAAACAAAATTAATTTTTGGAGTCTCCGGAAAATTAATTTTATTAACGTTTCTGAATTGTTAGAAATTTTTTTGAGAATTTTTTCAAAAATTTAAAAAGATGAATCAAGAATGTCACGCTGAAGAAAACCTGAATTAATTGGATCAGTGAGCATCAAGAAATTCTCTGAGAAAAATAATTACCCCAGCTTTTAATTTTTGTTCTTCTGCTCAACACTTGCAAATATTCAGAGTCTGCCACGAACAAACACTTGATTGAGTTTGAAGGGATAGAAATAAAATTTGTGAAAAAAATGTTCTCCTGAGATAATCTCAATACCCGTAAAAAGAATTTAAATATCTAGCCAAAAAATGGTTTCTTGGTCTGAATAAATTTTAAGCATTTTCGTCCAAGATTTCGCATGCACAAATTCACTCATTCACTGACCATTGTTATTATTGGTCTCTGGCAAATGCTTCTTCAATTGAGAAATTTCTCGTTCGGACAACATTCCGCCCAAGGGTTTTCTCACGGGTCGCGGGGTTGCGCGGAAAGCGATTTCGTCTCTGCAAAGCACTTGCACCAGAGATTCCCGGTTTCTGATTCCAACCAAATCAACGCACCAACTGCCGTCGAAATTCCGCGACAAAAAAGTGGCCTTGAACAACGCCTCGGGAAATTTCTTGAGCACGTATTCCTGTGGACTGGTCTTGAATTTCCGTGGGTCGCAGAGAACCCCGTAGAGAACCCCGCGGATTGCCTGGAAATACAGCGATTGCAGTTTATTTCAGTGATTCAATCCATGTACAGAAGTTTAGCAACAAAAAGCATGAAAATAAAATTATCGTATTCACTAGAGTATTCAACTATCGTGATTCATTTATCGTTTTTATTCACTTTATTCTTTTGACTAATCCTCCAAAATTCTGCCACCTCCCTGCTCAAGAAAAAAGGATTTTGAAAGCAGGAAATATTTGTACGTCTAGCAGAAGAAAGAATGAACATTTTTCACAGCATTGGAATTAAATTTCCCAGTTGAAAAATTAAATGAGCTGACTTACTGTAAATGAATAATATTTCTGAGATATTATTTTTCATGCGAAGCTTATAAACGGAGTATCTGACAAGTAAAAAAGTTGATCCACATGCAGATCAATGCAATGCATTGTAACTGAATATCACTGTAATTGTTAGTGAAAAAGACGTTTTGTCAACGAACCTGCATTGGAAATTTGACATAAGGTTCCGGTAAAACCCTCAAATCCGTGATCTGAATGTTCCTCTCTTCCCCGTAATCAATGAGGAACACGTTAGCGCAAGAGGCCTTGAGATCCAAAATTTGCACGCGATACCAACAGCCTTCAAACGAGGCAGCAAACAGCATTCCGACTGAAATATCTTTTCCAATTACAGGTGTTCCGATTTCGCTCAAGTTTTCTGCCCCCAAGGCTTTGGTGAACTCTGAGAGTGAATCGAGTTTGGAACAAATCCGGAGGTAAAAGGACGGAACCTTATTGGTCCATGACAGAAGCACGTTTTCCGTGCTACCAGGAGTGACATCTGCATCAACTGCTTGCAATTTCATGGCGCATTTCAACCTGGAGGAAATTTAGTTCATGGTGAGGACGGAGACTGCAACCAGAACTCATATAGAGGGTGGAGAAAGGATGACACATTTTATGAACAGTTGTCTCTTGAATGGTTGGTTCTAATGAAGTGAATTTGAAATTTCTACTACAGGAGCACACTCATTTACCATGTACATATAATGAAATATTATAACAAAGCTGCTGTGACCTGGAAAAAAACATGAAATTTTTTTTATAATACGAGACTCAAATAAATTTGTGACAATACTGCAAGGGATCCTAAAATAATGTAATTTATAAATTATAAGTTGTTATGGCAAGATTTCTTGTTACAAGACCTTTGATGATTTTTCCTAAAACTTTGTGCATGACATCAGTGCTGCATAAAATTGTCACTGCATTATCCTTTTTTTATTCAATCAAGCTCCAACATTCACTTGTAATCTTTTTAATCCAGCATGTTATGTTTTATTGTACTGTATTTAGAAAAAAATCCCCAGAGAAACAATGTGCAGTATTATTGGAATTCCAAATGCTGGTAAGTCATGAGCACATATGATTAGAAAATTGAAATTGTGATTTAAAATTTTAAGTCAATATTAAGGGTGAAGGGGTTTGAGAAAATTGAAACTTCAGGCTGTTCATTGAAAAAGAATACTGTATAATGACTTGGAAGATAAAGGGTCTTACTGGCTAGTTTTTCCCATGTTAAAAAAGTAAAATTTTAATGCTCACGCATTCTTGTAGGCATCTTTGCAAGATTTTCCAGAATCAACTTTGTTGAGAAGCTCATTCACCAGTGTTTTATTCACTGTCAATAGCCTGTGGCTGAAACGTGATTCAATCATGCTATTTTGCAACCATTCTTCCAATGTTGGTTGCAGTAGTTCATCCAGTTTTGCTGGAGCTGTTCTCATAGTTTCTTCAGTCACCATTTGAAGACTAAATGCAAGCATGGGGATTTCCAGAAGTTTTCTTGGCAAAGCTCGCATTTGACTCATGCTTATGATTTGGTGCATGCCATAGTCGACCAACAAAACTTCAGCCTGTGAATTGATGTGTGTTGTTTGCCAATTGTACAATGTTTTCCAATGCTCAGGAGCATAAGGGCAGACAATATTAAGAAGAGAAAATAACTAATAACTGTTGGGATCTGAAGAGAAAAATTGAAGATCAAAATCAACTATGAAGAAGCAATGGCTGTACTGCAGGGAATGAAAACTAAAATAGTTTTAAAGGATCATCTTGGCAATTTTGTGTCTGGAATGAATGATCAATATTTGTACATCTCAACTCAAAAATTAAAAAAAAATTGCTCAACAAGATGCTGCACCCAGGACCATATTAATTTTGTGAAAAGATTTCTTCTAACAGCAAGGATTCACTGAATGACTTGATTGTGAAGCTCAATTCAAAACTAATTTTCCCGAGGAAATCATGAACAGACCTTCCCTCATCCGATTGAAGCAACTTTCAGAACATTATAATCCATCAAATGGAATTTAAAAGTGTTTATCAGAATGCTTGTACAAACCTGCTTAAGCTCTTCTGAAATCTTCGTGACCCAACCGCGAACCCAATGTCCCAAAACATTGCTGAAAAACAGGGTCACGACGTTGCTTCTCCAGAACTCTTTCGCGGGGACCGGGGGATCATTGGTATGCATAAAATCACGAATGATCCCTTCTACTCTCTCCACGCCTTCTGAACGATCACCGATGGCGGCAAAAAAACAGTTTTCTTGGAAAAAATCCGGTTTCATGACAACCATTGGACAACTAGCCTTATCCGGAGATGTCAGTCTAACACTCATCATGACTCTATCAAGAGAAAAATGACTTGAATACAAGGTTGTCAAGTGTTATATCAGGTTCGTTTCACGACAGGTTAAATTCGGAGGACTAAGCGTGTGATGAATGAAAACTTGATAAAAGTACTTCATACATCTAATATCGACCAGTTGCAAGATTTGAATAACTTTCAAAAGGTATTTCTCAACTTGATCGGTATTTATTCTTGACACAGTCCGTATTCGAACACGTGGATAACATTTTGCTTCAACGAATTCCCAACTAATATGCGAGGGTTGTCTGGATTTTTCGCGGCATAATCTGGAAATACTCAAATTCAAGTTTCTTTACAGTTGAAAATAAATTCGAAGATAACTATTGGAAGATGCAAATTTAGAAAAAAGCCTGGAAATTCTGATTCATACATTTCAAGTTTTATTAAATAAACAGTGTAGTGAAAGCTTGGCACAAGGAATTAATTTTCAGAAGGAATTAGTGTATTTTGTGAGATCCATCCGGAAAAGCCACAATTCTGCTTGAGACTCACTATAACGAATCTTTTGTTAAGAATTTTTTACCCAGTTCCAAGGGTTAATTGTTAAGAGATTCTCCTGATGCATTTTCAAAATCGAGTTTTATAACTCAATTCATATCCCTTCACAACGTCTAACAGCATTAGAGTTGAAGTCTATGAGGTATTTCAATGAGAAAATTCGAAGTCAAGTGCAAAATTTGTGAGAATGTGGAGGATGAACCGAAATGATTATTCCAAGCAATCTCAGATTCAAGTACTAACTTAGTTTCTTCACTCTGATTCGCGCAGAAGCCAGACAACCCTTGCACACACGAAAAATAACCGAAAAAAAATTTCACCTGGCACGCCGAACCTCACAGTTTCAATTCGAGGCTTAAAAATTGGCAAATACAGTAATTCCGACTTCACAAAAAAAAGGCACATTATCTCACGGATCACACAGTGCCACTGGAAAGTTTAAAAGGGCTGAGTTTGGAGACGCACTGGAAAATCGCGTCTTAAAGCAGTAACGCTTACGCGAAATCACTTGGAACAGTTTTTTTTTTTTTTAACATAAATTCGAGTATTCACTGTAACACACGAAGTACTGCCGCGACACATGAATCCGTTGATCACACGAAATTTGATCAATGGCAAAAAATGATTTTTACACAGGGAACATTCACGTCATCAACTAAATGAGCTTTCCGAGTTGGGAAATTCTTGGTCAGACAGGAAAAATTCAGATTGGACTTCCAGCTTGTTCTTCTTCCTTCCTGAAAGAAAAAGGTTAAAGAATTCTCAGGATTTCTGCAAGATAGCATCATGTTATGGCCCACAAAAATTCGTCCAGAAACTACGAGAATAAAATAATTTTCTATGAATTTTACAGCGTAATCTTAGTCTGATTCTTCTACAGTGCAACAACTGTCACTCGAAAACTGCGACCAGTGGAATGCATGATTGAAGCTATTCTGATTGAAGCTCTCAGAAGATTGCTTTTTCTTCAGATAATTTAAAAAATCTGAAAAGTAAGATCTAACAGATTACAGACAGGCCTGATATGAAAACCTTTTTCCAGCAATGGATTTTGAAGATCTTGCAACAAAAAATTATTCAATAATGTATAACAAACTTTTCCTGAAGTCCCCAAAAGTTTGTTGTAACGATATTTCACTATCTATAATTTTATCCTTCATTTACTTTTCTGAGCAGAATGGCTAGTTTCCCTTACTCAAAAACTTGTCAAGTAAAGTTTTCTGTGGGACCCTGTGAGTTAGACTAATCTGACCGATTACAGACAGGTCAGATGTGAAAACTTTTTCCAGTCATGAATTTTGAAGATGTTGTTCCAACAAATCATTCAGTATAACAAACTTTCTCAAAGCCCTCAAAGGTTAGTTGTAATGAGAATTTTACTGTATCAGTAATGCTACCCTCCATGATTTCTTTTCCACAGCAAAAGTGCTAGTTTCCCTTAATCATAAACTAGCCAAGAATTTTATTTTTCATCTCTCTAAAGATGCATAAAGATGATTTCATCAGAAATCCTTACCAAGCAGATGACGCAGGATATCTCAAGATCAACCCTTTTTTCTGTGGTAGGATCAATAAAGCTCTTTGACTTCAAGCCAGGATTCATCATCCAGGTTCTCAGACTCGTCCAACGCAATCCCGTGACCCAGAGACAAAAATTTGTCAGTCACACTATGGCCGTCAGAGTCGAATAAGTCCACAATGTACCGCACATTTCCCCCGCCTTGAACGTGGTGGAATTTGACAGTAAATTTCCTCTCGTGACCTTCATTGTGGGTCAGTTGTTCGAAGGCTTCCACGGCTTCGTGACTCCATTTATCCTCGGTTGGTTTGGCCTGGATCCGACAACAAACCGAGTACGCGGGTTCTTCGAGAAATTCCGGCTCGATTTTCTTGAGGAATTCTGCGAAAAAATTGAAATAAATCGGTTCAAAACACAGATTTTTGCATTCTGTCAGCAAAAAAAAAAAGA